AATGGCTTTGAGTCAACAAGCTGAACTACAATTCTCAAATAGCAACTCACTCTACTGTTTTATCTCCCCCTCCCCATGAGAAATATAAGAGTTTAGAAAACAACTCTGAGAGTTCTAAAGCAGCCACGTAAGGCTGGTGCTATTATTGCTTGAGTTGTTGTTTGCCGGTAGCCATCTTTTTACACTTCCTGAGGTGTTTTTCATCCCCTTTCTTTTTCTTGTACAGGGAGGTTGTATCAGGTCTTTCCTTTCCCTCAGCTGAAGCAGCTGCTCCTCTTAAGGAAATGCTTCATGCCCTTGTCAGTAGCTCTGCTTTTTCCACACTTTCGTTCCTTCAGAACTCACCATGTGGTGATTTATGGCACTTGAGTTTCTCAAGTTACTGTATAACTTCCTCCTCAGAGACTTCGTTCTGTACAAAGGCCATGCTCCCGTTTCCTGTGCCAAGTGCCCTTGGCACAGGAATTCCTGAGCCATTCTCAGTGGTGAAGATGAGGTAAGATTTTCACTTAACCTCTAAGTTATATCAACATCCTCCCCATTTGACCCACTCCAAAGCTTTGGGATACTCTCTGGGGCAAATGGAATCCTAATTGGGCAAATTGCACCATCCACTGCATATAGGACAGGGGCGCCGATCAATTCAGCAACCATCCACACACAGAATTACTTTTTTCCCATGCACAGAGTGGAATGCTGTCTGTACCACCCATGAGGCTGGTTGCTTACCTAAATGGAAGAAAATCCAATCCAGGGATCTATGTGTGGAAAGGCAGGCTGTGTACCTGTTGCTGCTTTTCGTGGTGCTCTCTGCCTCTCACCCCGCCATTTTGTCTCTCTCACACATACACAAACAAACACACAAATGCATTTCTGTCTCCACTTGTTCAATAAAGTGTAATATACCCTAAGCATCCTCTTCCTTCTTTCAGGCTCTTGGTAATCTGTTTGGAAGAGGAAAGGAGATTATGCCCGAGTGCTACTGTGCTTATCACCTGTACAATTTTTATATCCTGACCTGGGTTCTTTTGGGAGTAAGGTTGGGATATTTTAAAAATGCATCAAAAATAAATAAAATTGCAGCAAGCTGATGTTTGACACACGTGTATAGTAAGTGTGATCAAAAGCACTGGTGCAGTTAGGGGATTTTAAATGTTGGATTTAATGGTCATACCAGGGCCCATGTCTTTAGACTGTAATAGGCATTACTTCACTGGTAAAAATCAGGGGTAGGCAACCTAAGGCCCGGGGGCCGGATGTGGCCCAATCACCTTCTCAATCCGGCCCACGGACGGTCTGGGAATCAGCGTGTTTTTACATGAGTAGAATGTGTCCTTTTATTTAAAATGCATCTCTGGGTTATTTGTGGGGCATAGGAATTCGTTCATTTTTTTATTTATTTATTTTTCAAAATATAGTCTGGCCCCTGACATGGTCTGATGGATGGTGGACCGGCCCATGGCTGAAAAAGGTTGCTGACCCCTGGTAAAAATCATCCCTGCTGCCATTGGGCAGTCCAACAGCTCATTCTTATGATAGGCCTTTGTCCCTCAAAGCCTGCCTAAATGGCACTGCGGATTCAAAGAGTGGGATGTGGTTGGATTTTTATTATTATTATTATTTATTTAGTGTTGATATTTAATGACAAGACTATCAAGTATGGTATGTGCATTATATAAGATGAACACCGTTTCCACAAAAGAGAACATTTTCTCTCTCTTTTTAATATACATAGTCGTACCTTATTGAGTGAAGCATGTTTTCGGTGGTGTATACCAGTTCAAACTATAGGTCAGGAATTGCACATTTGAAATTTTCATATAGATATATAGCATCAGCTCTGCATATATCCAAAATAATGAGGTGAATCAGGATGATTCAGTATAATCTTTAACATTACTGGGTTGGGTCAAATTGGAACAACACAGAACAGATCCAAAACAGATTGGGCTGCTTCCAAACACTACAGATATGGATACAAGCCAAATCTTGCCACAGCTGCACAAGATCGATAGATAGACAGACAGAGAACTGCCTTCTCACACACATAGAGCTATCTTGTCAGGAAAAGGACTTAGCTGGGTGGGTCCTTTTCTCTGACACCTCTTCTGCTGGGAGAATGCTTTTATATGAGGGAAATCCAAGCATGCCACCCTCCTTTCCTGCCACTCCTGATAGTCTGAAGTGGTCCAATCTTTTAAGAGGCATTGCATTACATGATGCTGCTGTTTTGATTCTGTCGAGTTTTTATTCTTCAGTTGTATCCAAGTGATTTTCCATTCCGGTGCTGCTTCAGCTGTTTGCCTTTCAGTTTGCTTCTTCCCTAGGGGTGCATATTGCAGCATTAGCCCCAGTTCACATGTGTGTGTCAACCACTCATTGCAAGCGGCATCAAGTGATTATTGCATGTGTGGATGCCAATTAGTCATCACAAACTGGACTTCCATATTGCATGATGCCAACTCAAGCAGGATATTTTTTAGACAGAGAATATTGAATGATCAAGTGATGACTCAATGTGATGCTCATGTTTAAGAAGAACCCTTACATATTGTCTCCTGGTTACATTGCATCACCAAAGAATGGATGCGGCATTTCTCTCTGTCTGACTGTAATCCCTGTTTCTAAGTTGTGCAGAGAGAGAGAGATTTAGAACTGTGGTGCTCGTGAATTGGGATTTTGATTTGAGCAACCCAGGTTCAAATAACCCACAGCCATGGACCTCATTGAGTCAAGCAACAGCTTTCAGCTTCACCTACCTCTCAAACTTGTTGTGAAGGTAATGTCACTCTGAGATCCTTGGAGGAAGAGGGAATTTCAAATGTAATAAATAAAGTTAGGCACTAATTTACCAAGGGAACACCAGTCTGCTTTCAAATGTAAAATTTGGACTGAAAGCAGCTGCCACAAATTAAATCACTCTGAAAGTAAACCTATTCAATAGCCCTACTTTGTTTACAGTTGACAGTATTTGAATAATTTCTGCTCATATAAAAATGCACATACGTTTAAAACACAATATCCTGGTATAGGGAACATTTTAAGGAACATCTGACTAACTTTAATAACAAATATCATTAAAAAAAACCACACAAATACACACAGGACTTTGGGGGGTTTTCCACACGTTAAAGGCTTTATTGTTAACAATACAATCTACTTTCCTTCTTCTTCACACTATAAGGTCTTTAAACACGTGGAGCAAAAATGCCCACCCACTAAAAGCATTATTTAATTGCAAAACTATTTTTGTGTTCTTTATTTGCATAAGATATTGACTGCCATTTGTACAGACAGGCATAACAATCCACATAAAGTCTCTCAGGCACAACTTCAATATAATGAACAAAAAATGGATATCTGAATTGTACACTAGTACAGTGTCTGCCATTGTGATGAAGGGGGCAGGCTGTATATTGCAGAGACCCCTGTGGCCAAACACATCTCTGCGTACTCCCCAGTGGAGACTTCCTACCACCAACAGAAAGAAACCTGGCTCCCAGCATTCTGTCTGACGTGCTCTGAGTGTGACAAAGAGATATAATGCAGGGAACTGGCTCTATTTCAGTGCAAACGGTGGTAGTCCACAGGCTGTCACTTTGGTGAATGCAGATATAGCTAGATGTAGTTATTTGGGGATAACCTTATTGGAATAACTTGCCAAAAGGGAGTAAATAAAGTGTGGCTGTATGTATGTGTGTGTGTGAAATGTTACCTCATTTTATGTCATTATTTTTCCAAGACTAATTCCAAGTATATTAAACTCATGAAAACAATGTTCCACCCAGTTGACCAATTTAAAGAAGGTCCTGCTGGTATAAAGAAGAGTTAGAGAATATCATTAAACATGACCAGATGAGGCAGCAGGTAGCTGTAGCTTTCCTTAATGAAAATTTAAAGAGAGTACATGAAAATGATATTTCTCCAATCCAAGAGAATACTAAGTTAAGGACATTCAATTACCACCAAGATCCAATTTAGCACTGAAGAAGTATTGTTTGTTGATCAGGATTTATTGCCTGAAGTGAACTGTTAGGCTGCTGACTAGCAATATAATTACTTTTTGCAGCACACCATGGCAGCACTGTTTATATTTATTTAATAGACAAGACAATATGTTCAGTGTGGGTTTTTTTCAGATTGTGCCATAAAGCATCAAAAGCCGAGGATTTTCATAAAATGAATGCGAATATCATCTTATGCTTACGTCTCACCATTGTGCAAAAAAAACCCCAGAAAATCAACAGAAGTTGATAGGATGGGAATTTAGCAGCAGTCTAAACAATAAGCTGTTTAAGCAGCAAAAGTGGTCCAAAAGGAATAGCCGGGGCATACAAGAATGGCGCTTTTTATTTTCCTAAAATGGCTTTCTCTGGCTAGGATACATCAGCATGTCATTCACTAGTGTATTTTTGGTAATTTAAACCTCATCCTAAAAGTGGAACTTTTCAGAAATTGATTTTTAAAGATCCTATATTTAGGATGCTAAGGAGGACGCAAGCAGGTGGGTGCGAAAGAAAGGCATTCTATCATATATTGCTGCAGAAGGGGGGGGAGTGACAACAATATGTGTTTTTATTTTGTATTTTTATGCTCCGAACCACCCTGAGATCTTTGGATGAAGGATGGTGTGTGTCAGGGAACTGCCATCGGCTCAGGGGCGAGAGGGGGAAAGCCGGATGGATTACAGAGAGCCCCCAAAGATTGTGGGAAGCAGCACCTCCTCAGCGGAGGAGAGTAACCACACCTCCAGCGGAGAGGAGCTTCAGGGCTTGGAGGAGGTGAGGCGGTGCCAGGACACCTTGCCTGAGCAAAGCAGGGAGGAGAGAGGTCCTCCATTACCCGCGCCCTCCTTGTGCAGTAGGCTTCCGCGCAGAGAGGGGAAGCACAGACTGGGTGTCAAGAAACTACTCTGCTGGGGAAGGTTTAAGGACCGCCCACTCTCAGATTCTGCCAGTGAATGAGTGAGCCACGGAATAGTGGCGCTCTGCATGGTGAAGGTTTTGTTTTGTTTTGTTTTGTTTTGCACCAATAACAAGGCTTTACAGCCAACCAGGGAGGCATTTGCCTGATTGCTCTCGAGCAACCCTCTGATACCCTTACAGTGTGCAAATTAAATTCTAAAAAATCAGTAATAATAATAATAAATAAAAGTAGCTTATACTTTGTAGGGGGCGTTGTCCACATAAAGTCATAGGTTCTGAATCAGTAGCAGGACCCGCTTTGCTTGAAGTAGCTCCAGGACTCCACCTCCAGCACTTTCACTTTGAGCAGCAGGATAACAATCAAAGTTGATCAAACTGGACTCAGTGAGCTGTTTCAGCATAAGGCAAGTTCATACGCTGAGCATTCCAAATCACTTACGCAAAAGGCACCTGTAACAGAAGGCAGCTCCTGCTGGGGTGCTCCTGTTCAGTGTTCCAGCCAGCCATACCATCTTTCAGGATCATAGAATCATGGAAGTGTAGAGTTGGAAGGGAATACGAGGGTCATCAAGTCCAACCGCCCTGCGATGCAGGAATATTTTGCCCAATGTGGGGCTCGAACCCCTGAAATTAAGAATCTTGTGCCCTACCAACTGACCTATGCCCAGGTCTGTTCTCCTCTCCCCTACCTGCTGGTTTTTTACTCCCCTTCCTGTCCTGTCCCCCCTCCATCCGCCTTATAGATAGTGCATTCTGTAGCCACTGAGCATGCTCAATCTTCATTGGGCTGCTTTAAGTAGAGGATGCTGCTCCCTTATTTATGTCCTCTAAATATTTCTTGTTCTTCTGCAAATCTAGGCGTTCCCTCACTCATTCTGAAACTTCCCTGTTGGTTCCCAGTGACTCTGTTTTGGAGACATAGCCATCATAACTCAGCATCTGAATTTGCTGTAAATACACGATGCTTATTCTAAATCCTACACACACACACACACACACACACACGTTTGCTCTGGTGCACCTAGTGCTTTTTTTCTTGGGGGGATGCAGGAGTACGGATACCCCTGAACATTTTGTGAATCTTTGTACTTTTGTCCTTTTATTGTATTTATTTTTCCTGATTTAAACTATAAAATGGTGGTTTTCTTGAGTCAATATGACAAGAAGAAGAAGAAAAGCACTAGATGCACCTGTGGTATTCTCCCCTAGGCATGCTTCTCCATTCACTTCAGCAGTGGACTCCCATCTACTGATCCCTTTGTGTGGGGCACTCCTCTTGCATTTAACAGGATGAGAAATCTCTTATGGGCAAGGGAGATCCATGTGTATGCATCACAGTCTCCATAACTGATTAATTAGAGGAGACTATTTGGAAACAGCTTTAAGATCAGTGCAGCATTTTTCCCAGGCATAGGCAAACTCGGCCCTCCAGATGTTTTGGGACTACAACTCCCATCATCCCTAGCTAACAGGACCAGGGATGATGGGAGCTGTAGTCCCAAAACATCTGGAGGGCCAAGTTTGCCTATGCCTGATTTTTCCTATTAAATGTGTCCAATGCCTAAGTTTCAGACTCTGAACAGAGCAGTTAAAAGATCCTTGGATGGTCTACATGCTGGGGCCTCTTGTTTCATAAGAGAGTGGCATGTGTTGACCTTTAAGCCTGATGGCTCTAGTCAGAACAACTTTCTGCATGAAATAGCTAAGGAATGCATTTAGTCTGGGCTGTAGTACTGGCTAACAGGGAGCTGCCTTATATTGAATCAGACCATTGGTCGATATCAGTATTACCTACACTGATTGGTAATGGGTCTCCAGGTTTTCAAAAACTTCCCCAGTCGTACCTGGAGATGCCAAAGATTCAGCCAGGGATCTTCTGCATTTAGATGAATTTGACATCTGGCTAGGACTCCTCTTTCATACATTTATTGTATTACTACTACTATTATTATTATTATTATTATTATTATTATTATCATTATTTAATATATTAATATAATGAATTGATATATAATATATACCAGTTAATATTTAGATTTTCTAAGTGGTATAAACAAAAATGTTTATAAGAACAATTATAAGAACAATTACTCCTGGAAGAGAATAAGAACAATTAAAATTCATCATACAAACCTGCTGAAATACCTGCTGAAATAAGAAAGTCTTTGTCAGGCATGCTGCATTATAGCTAAAGAATAAAAACTATTCCCCAGGCTAGCCTTTTTTTAAAAAATGCTATGATGGCTACATGGCTAACTGCAATCCTATGCATATTTGCTCAGAGGTAAGCCCCATTGAGTTCAGTGACACTTACTCCCAGGATTTCTGCCTAAAGCATGTTAAACAGGTCAGTAAAACCAATATTGTATCCATGGGTTGATACTGTGTTCCTTGTATCAAGTCAGATTTTCAACTGTTTCCTTGTACAACAGAATGCATAGTGGCAACATATTTTATCCTTTAAAAAGATCGCCCTTTTCATTTGTATACCTAAGCAATTTATTCTTTAACAGCTTTTTTTTATTTCAAAGAAATCACTAGCTAATGATATTTCAGACTTTAAAAAAAAAAAATCCACTTATTCACAAGCCTGTCCCTGAGGGAATTGTAGTGTGTTATCAGAAATTTTTTACCAAAGATCATTAACACATATTACAAACCAATTGAAACTGTGTATTTTCTTTGCAGATTACTTTTAACTTTAGAGCTGTTACAAAAAGAGACATTGAGTGATTTAATTTACTTAACCTGTCTACAAATTGCTGCGATGAGCAATATTCTGATTGCATTATACCACCAAAAAGCACAGATAACTATTGCTAATAGAGATGGGGGGGGGGGGTCCCGATCATCCCCGATCATCCCAGAGCAGTGAAGATCTTAGCAGAGATTAATGTTTACCTCATTATTTAGAAAATTGCATTGAAAAAGAAGGAGCCTTTATTTGGTTGCTATATCTTAGAGAGAATAATACCACTTTGTCTTTCTTTTAACGGAGAGTTAAATTCAACAACAGTAATCAGATTAGTATTTCCTTTGAGAATATAGATGTATGTATTTTCTTTCCCAACCCCAATATGTTTACTAGGATAAAGAGCTGATATTTGGCAAGAGAAACTATTCTTTTTATATATTAAGTATCCATAGAACGTTCATTGTGATAGATCACACTTTCTGTCTTTGAAGAACCAATTCTGCACAGGTTTGTGTGATGAGGAACCACGGTGTGATTCCTTATTCTACATGGCAGAGAATTCTGTGGTGTATTAGAAGGCGTTAGTTTTCAGTCAGTAATGCCCTGGTGGATCAGAAACACCATCACCATGATGTCTGTGTGTCTGTTTAGGATTCCTTTTCTGAGGGGAAAGAGAATGAAACAGTTCAAAGTCTGGTTGATAACAACCTACAGCAGTAGGTTGTATCAGTATCAACCAATGGACACAATGTCGGTTTTAGTGATCTAGTCACAATTTTTCAACATATATCAAAGGTTTGTTGTTTTTAATTTGGCAGCAAGGCAACAGGGGAAAAAGGAGGAAAGGCAGCCCCAAATGTTTTAAAATTAAAAGTCTTCTTCGTCTTTGGCTATCACTCATAGCTGAGTAAGATTGTCTTCCATAAACATGGTTTTAACAATGAGTCCGTAAGTGACTTTGGAGGCCAGTTCTGGATCCACACGTCCTTCCACAGTGGAGACATTGGTTTCCAGGTGGGAATTGATCACAGTGTGGATTTCCCAAGTGTGCCTTCCTCTTAGCACGTTTCTCCCTTGCATCCTGAGTTTCAGTGTCTTCAAAGCCCATGACACCTTTGGTAAAGGCTGTTCTCCAACTGGAGCACTCGCAGGCAAGTGTTTCCCAATTGTTGGTGTTTATACTACATTTTTTAAAATTTGCATTGAGACAATCTTTAAACCTCTTTTGTTGACCACCGACATTACGCTTTCCATTTTTAAGTTCGGAATAGAGTAGTTGCTTTGGAAGACGATAATCAGGCATCCGCACAACATGACCAGTCCAATGAAGCTGATGTTGAAGATCATTGCTTCAGTACTGGTGATCTTTGCTTCTTCCAGTACACTAGTATTAGTTAGCCTGTCTTCCTAAGTGATGTGTAATTTTTTTCGGAGACACCATTGATGGAATCTTTTGAGGAGATGGAGATGGGGTTTATAAGTGGTCCATGTTTCACAAGCATACAGTAAGGTTGGGAGTACAATAACTTTGTAAACAAGCATTTTGGCTTCCCTGTGAATGTTCTGGTTCTCAAACACTCTGCACTTCAATCGGGAGAAAGCCGCACCCTACAGGAAGCTATGTTATACCCAGTCAGATTATTTGCCCATCTGACTGGCAGCAGCCTTCCAGAGCCTCAGACATATCATCTACTATTTCATCCATCTAATTAAAGATGTATCGGCAAGTGAAGGATGACAACTGGCCACTAAATAAGAAATGATACAGCTGCAGGAGGAAGTGATCAACATACGTTTGCAACAGGAGCGGGAAACCTGATTTTAAGAAATTGTATCAAATTAAAGTAATTCGGTTTGATTTGTAATAATTTGGATTATAAAAATAAATATCAAAAAGATGTCTGGAATTGACCATGAGACCTTCTGCAAATCAGCTCAATGTTAAAAGGCTGAAGACAGACATTTATGGGAAACTTCCCCCACCCCCATTTCTAGTCTTATTAAGGAAATCTAGAACAGTCCCTGAAGACCCACAAGGTTCCTAGAATATGCAGATAGCTATTTTGATCAATAAACCCTGCCATTTAAAAATTTAAAAATTCTGCCAAGGAATTGATGGGATGCTCATCCAATGTGCAGAAAACGCCAAACTAGGAGGGGTAACTAATGCTGCAGAAGACAGAATCGGGATTCAAAATGACCTTAGCAGAGTGGAGAACTGGGGAAACTAACAAAATGAATTTCAGTAGGGACATATCTAAGGACCTGCACTTAGGCAGGATGGCTGCACCAATATAAGATGAGAACACTGGCCTTGCCACTGGGACATGCAAAAAGGATCTAGGGGTCTTAGTAGACCACAAGCTTAACAGGAGTCAAAGTTATTCTAGGCTGCATTAACAGAAGTATAATGCCCTGATCAAGCGAAGTAATAGTCCTGTTGTATTCTGTCTTGGTCAGATCATACCCGGAGAACCATGTCCAGTTCCACGTGCCAGAATTTTTTTAAAAAATATGAATAAGCAGAAACATATGCAGGGGAGGGTAACCAAGATGATTAAGGGTCTGGAAACCAAGCCTAGAGAAAAGGAGACTGAGAAGAGATATGATAGCCATCTTCAGATATCTAAAGGGTTGTCACATGGAAGGTAGAGCAAGTTTGTTTTGTCCTGCTTTGGAGGGTAGGACCTGAACCAATGGCATCAAATTACAAGGAAGGAGATTCCAGCTAAACATCAGCAAGAATTTTCTGGTGGTAAGAGCTGTTCGGGAGTGGAATGAACTCCCTTGGAAGATGGTTTTTAAGCAGAGGTTAGATGGTCATCTGTCATGGATGCTTTAGTTGAGATTCCTGAATTGCAGGGCATTGAATTAGATGACCCTCACGTTGGCTTCCAATGCTACAGTTCTATGATTTTATAGTCACTCTCAAGACAGTTATATAAAATAATGATCTGCAATGGAACTTCAACAATATACAACCAACTGAAGTTCTGACTCCATGTTTTATTTTCACACTTTAAAAAATCACTGCCCAAATCAAGTGCTCATGTCATCACAATCCCATCTTCCACTGTGTGTTGAGATATGATTAATACTCTTTCATAAATCAAGCATAAGTAAGGGGAACAGTAGCAGAAATAATCCTGAAATATAATATGGCTACACAGTTAGTGTGATGCAATTTAGGACGATAATTTATTATTTTGGTAAGCAGCAACATTGCACATGGGCCTTCTGATTCAGTTCCACTGAGCCAAGTTCAACTAATTAGATTCCATGAACAGCGTAGTGTATTACAAAGCCAATAACTGACAGCTGTCAAGGTTCTCACTTTCAAGGTTTATTTTGCAACCTTATTATGCACCACTTGCGCCCGTCTTAATTAAGAATGGGGAAAATTCATATATTGGTGCATATATCTTGTTACTGGCATTGCTTGTATTCTGCACTCTTAATACGTTAAGCATCCATGGTCTCTTAAGTCTACCTGTGCAGAGTGATGGCTGTACTGCACTCTTTTCTTGAATGACAGAATGTTTACACAGGGTTTTTGTTGGGATTTAAACGATTTGATTCTGTGCATCTGAATCATGACATGGCAACTGTACTCACTAGATCACAAGTTAGAGGATCGTGGGTGAGATGCTCCCAGAAATCTTTGCTGTGTAAAATCATTGTACTTTTTTGTTTAAAAAAAAAAAAGCTCTGCTCCCAACCCTGCCCTTCAGATTTAGTGCAACAACACTAATCCAGCAATGATGTTTCCATCAGATAGGCTATCAATGTTAATTTAATGAGTATCTAATCTGCATTATTCACAGCTGGGAATTAGTACAGCTTTGGCTTTCATGCTTAAAAGCCGTAAGTGAATCATAGCAACGTAGGAAGTTACCTTCTACTGAATCAGGCCATTGTTCCACCTAGTTCAGTAGCTCTCTGGGACAAGGGCTGGAGATGACAAGGATTGAATCTGAGACCTTCTGCATTCCAAGAAGATTCTCTACCACTGAGCTACGATGTATTGTTTCAAAGTACAACCAACTAAATGTGCATGCGCACAATCTTATATTCAGCTTGGAATTTCTCTGTTGTAATCACTGTGAGTAGGCAGAAGCAAATCTGTGACAACTCCTCCTTCGCTCATCATTCTTGCTAAGTTTGTCCACCTCTGTGGATTTGAAATATTGTTTCTTACCTGGTCCACAGTTTCTTTTCTATTGATTCTACTTAATTTTAATTTGATTTATTAGACTTTATATCACTTTATACATTCAAAAGTCTCAGAGCGTCTTACTGCCCTGAGACCCCCAGGTATAGGGGGTATATTAATTCAATAAATAATAATAACACAATAATCAACTTTTCAGCTGGGGAGTTGTTCTGTTCCAGTTTCACAGGTGTACGCAATAGTGTCACACTTTTGTGACAGTCTAAAAATAAGAGACTTACTTGGTAGCCCAATTCATCTAGCACAGTAAGGCTGCACTTAACCATGCACACATTTGATTTTGTGGTTTTTTCCCAAAAATTTTTTATTGATTTTCACAAAATTATAAACACACAAACAGACAAACATAAATCATAACCTTATTAAAACTAATCTTATTAACATTGTTAAGTGACTTCCTCGTATCCCCCTAATTGGATTTCAGTGCAAATCATTTGGAAGTCATTTCCAAATCAAAATTCTTATAAACTTAACATTTGATTTTGTTGATATTTATGGGGTGCTTGTTTGTAGTATTATATGGATCTGTTGTTTTTTATTGGTTTTAAACTTACAAAATGTATAAGTTTATAATTTTTATTTTAAAATATTTCTTTTATACATTTTCTATTTCTGCAAGTTGCCTTGGGGCTTTTTGAAAAAGGTGACCAAAAATTTTAAATAACAATAATGTAATCCCCATTGAACAGAAGAGGACCTGCACATAGGAATACACTGTAGAAACATGAATTAAGCTTATCCCTCTGTTATGTAATGGAGCTGTTCCAGGTGATTAATGGGTTCTTGCCCTGAAGATTGAAGCATCTTCATACACACAATGAGTGGTATTTAAATCCACTTTACTCAGAATGGACCCATTGTAACTAATGAGCCTAACTTAGTCATGTTCAATGCGTCTACTCTGAGTAAAACTTAATTGATTATTCCCCAGTATGTTTGACAGACATGTTGTGAGCACAATTACTCATACGCCTTCTACAAGGCTTTCCATACAATTTTCCAAAACACATTTGGGATATTGCTACCCCCCCAAAAAAGTACTTTATTAAATTGCATAGAAAGAATTCGGGCTGGAAGACTGAAACGCTGGCAGATTGAAATGACAAATACGAAGAAGAAAGACAAGAGTTAGGTAGGAGTTCAGAACACTTGGCTAAAATTCAGGATTGGCCAATTATTTCCTCTTAATGCTGCATTCCAAAAATACTCAGGCCATCGCCAAAAATGATGCAACTTTGTGACAAGGAGGAGACGACTCATCACACAAGTGTGCCTATGAAAGGCCTTCTGGCTTCCGGCATCTAGTTTCATGCAAACATTTCTTGGATCTGCTTAAGACAGATAGTTGGAATCAGTTCTAGGTTTCCCAGAAGGCACAGCTCTTTTGAAAAATGAAGCATACATATTATAGTGGAATTTAAGAATAAATTGCCCAGTTCCAGTTAGACTGAAAGTATATTCTCAATTAAGATTTTAATAATGCTTAAATGGAAATCATTGACAATGGGACAGATCATCATTCTAATTACACCACAGGTAGCCTTACTTTTCCCCGTTCTTCTATTTCTGCAAGTCCATGAAGTTCATTGACACCAGGAACCTAAACATGTAACAACGAAGTTAGTTTTTATTACCTTGGACCACAAGTGCATCGTTATAATCCTGTACTAGACTGGGCACACACAGACATTTATTTTCAGGTACATGGGTTTACAATTGCAGTCAAAGTCTAGGTATTACTTCTAGGTATGTCATTAGGTGTTATTTGCAACATTGCTGGACGCAATGGCCAAGCTAGACATAACACCAAGAATTTATTCCCCTTCTTTGCTTATTTGTTTTTCTGAAAAGGAGTCTTGGGATTGGCTACAGACTAGAATGGAAGAGTTACCAGAGAATAGAAGATGACTGTTTGACTTCCTTCCATCCTGCCATTTTTACCCTCAAAATTGCACACATACAGTTATTTTTCCACATGTGGGGAAAATGACATATTCAAAGTCACAAGAGAATACATAACCTATTTTCACATGCATCCATAGGAACAGTAATAACTGCTCTCTCTCTCCCACTGAAGCAAAATGTATCTTTAACAGTGACTCACAAATACATTTTGTAAGCTATTAGAAATTTTAGTATATATGTCCTGTATTTTGTTTTGCCACTAGTTTCTGATGTTATTGATGTAACCCATTCTTTACCCTTTGGAGACAAGATGGGGTATAAATCCAGAAAATTAATTAGTTAGTTAGTTAAGATGTGTATCAAGTTTAGCCACACAATGGCAACAATAAAGTCTGCTTTTTGTTGCCACTTTCATACAAAAGGTTTCATTTGAACTTGCTGGCTTTTGGCTCAGCATAAATTCTTTGGCCCCGTGCAATAAATCATATACTACTTTCTGGACCTCAGTTACTCTGTACAATGTAAACTCCAGTATTCTCCCAGACAATGTTAGACTTAAAAACCTTCACCTACTGAACAGAAGCTTATCTGAACTTCAAGGACACCGGTGATGATCTGGTTATCTGTGTCAGTTTCTTATCAAAGGACCAGCACTTTGGTTTAGCTTTGATGAGTAGAAGTGAATTTCCTTCTAATTTCTTAGTTATGTAACATATTCTGCTCTATAAAGAAAGCTCCCTTAATACATTTAACAGGGTCTTCTACACTTTGCCAAATATTCATATCCCCACATGTTTAGGCAAATTCATCTTTCAAAAACAGAACGACTTAAAAAGAAAACATGTCTTAGAGAATGATCAAGATGCTCACGCATAATGGATCCACCAACGAGGATGCGAATGTTGAATAACTTTGGAACACACAGGACTTCTGAAACTTCAAAGACCCCATGATCAGAAAACCTGGAAAGAGTCTACAAGGAAACCATAGATCATTAACAGCTTTGATTGGAAGATTTGGGTATTATAGGTAGAACTTATCAATTTTGTAGGTCAAATATCAAACTAAAATGGCCTTGATTTCAGAGTTGCCATTCCTCTTTGTCGTGTCTTGTTTTAACCATTTACAAGTGAGAACATTAATATCTGAAAAGCGAAATCACCATTCAATAAACATCCCGAAGTGTTGTGTGCCATATTTCTATTTGGGAGGCAGTAGTTATCTGAGAGCGGCGTTCAGATGCAATCAAGGGGGATCTCAGCTTCACTGAGCTCTCACATGACAGCTTGGATCATTTCGGATCCCTTCCAGCAGAGACAAAACAGCATCAAAAGCAGGAAGGCTTTTTCCCACCCTCTTATTTCCAAGGATGAAAACACAACATCATTAGTCAAATTTACTCTGAACTACTGCCTCCTCATGTTGATTTGTACTCAGGTTGAGTAAACATATATTTTCATCATGGTAAATAATGTAAAAAGCCTGTCAGTAACTTAATTGCTTAACGAATACTGTATTGTAGGGTGTAACCACTTTTTTTTAACTATAGTGCCGAAGTGAAGAGTCTCTCTTAATATATATATATATATATATATATATATATATATATATGAGAAAGAAAAGAAAAACACCCATTATATCTTGGCAACAAATAAATCTGTTCCTTGTGGAAACTTTCGTTATTAGAAAATGTCAATCGAGTCTTCCCTCCCAGTTTTTGAAAAGCAAAGAAGAAAAGCCATCAAACAATTCCAAAGACAGACAAACATGAATTCTTTTTGTTGGTTGAAGATACTTTTGCTCATGCTTATGCATTTTTGGAAAATTCAGTCTATGACAAGTGATGACTCCATAATAGGAATGAAGGGCATATGATAGGCTTGGAAGCCCTGACAGTGAAAACAGCAGGTGGCCTCAAAAAGTAAGAAACAAATTTTCATCTGCAGGAGGAAGTATTTTGCATTGCATGTACAAAGAATCTCCTGTAAAGATGACTTTTTTTTTTGGCGGTGGGGGTAGTCCTTGCACATGTAAGGACTTGACTTGGGAAAGCCTTGAGGGGAAAGTTTTCTTCTTGAACATATATTCTTGTTACTGGTGAAAAGACTGTGAGAGGCAGGGCTGCATGCAATTCAAGTTGTTTCTGTTCTGAGGCAAAAAAACCCCGTCTACAGTGGTGCCTCAGGTTAAGTACTTAATTCGTTCCGGAGGTCCGTACTTAACCTGAAACTGTTCTTAACCTGAAGCACCACTTTAGCTAATGGGGCCTCCTGCTGCCGCCGCGCTGCCAGAGCACAATTTCTGTTCTCATCCTGAAGCAAAGTTCTTAACCTGAGGTACTATTTCTAGGTTAGCGGAGTATGTAACCTGAAGCGTATGTAACCTGAAGCGCATGTAACCCGAGGTACCACTGTAATCGGATAAGAACCTAAACTACTGAGACAAAAAAAAAAGTGGAAGAGAGATTGTGGCCCAGTGGCAGAACACATATGGCACATGCAGAACATATCAGATTCATTTCCTGGCTTCCTTTGATTTAAAAGGTATCTCAGGTAAGAGGGCAGGGGGTGTGGGTAGCTGGAAAGCTAAAATTGTGACATAATTTGTGTCTCTGATCGCCCTGGGACAAAATCTAAGAAGAGTGGATCCTTTGGGCATCTAAACAAAAAGTTTCATGCAACCTCCGCAAGGTGATGAGCCAAAGAATATGGGGACCCAAAAGCAAATCTGCAGGATTAGATCTTCAGGGAGAAAAATACGTAAGAGGCCAGGAGAAAACATCTGCCTGGTGCCTTGGGAAGTTACTGCCAGCCAAATTCAACATGCCTGGGCTACGTGGAATAGTGACCTGACTTGTACTAAGGACAGATGTTCATGTGGTACAATAGGTCAGCTACCTTTAAAATCTGTACGTACTGATATTAGTTCTCGCAACTACAAATATCAGGATATGTATTATTGGCTCAATAAACCCTTGTAAGATAGGCATGTATAGATTAAACTACCAATCATTATTCCTGTTTATCACAGCATTCATTCACTATGACTGCCCAACATCATTTCCAATTTAAATGGCATTTATTACCTACCCACCAGAGCCAGAGCAATGCTTTACAACAGTGTGAAATTCAGCAAAAACAACAACAACCATATATCAAATTTTTATTTGTTTTAATTTGACTTGGCATATGATGTGGCACCACTATAAGCCATAGTTCCCTAATAAATAAACCTAAATGAAATAATTGTATCCTCACACACAGAAGGAAATGGACCCATCCTAACTTTCTCCCTCACATGTTAGTTGTCTATTTGCAATGACTGCTTCTCTCAGTGCAAGTTCCCTCCAGCATTTTGAGGACGTACAGTCAATGCAGATTTAATCCCTTGGGTGAAAGTAAATGTTTAGCGGGAGAGATCCCTGACTGGAGATCTCTCTTTCCTTAAATGAAATGCAGTCACAGTGGACGGCCAATTTGATCAAAACGGCAGCAGGATAAGGGGATGTCTAACCTTTTCCCCTGCATTGTTTTCCCAATCAAAATCTCTGTCTTTCTCTCTCCCTCTCTGTCTCTTTTATACACATAGCTACTACCTCCCCAAGTTCTTTCCTTACAACAGAGAGAGGCATTTTGATCAGGAAAATCATGCATGAAAAGGGGTTAAACACCATCTCTCTCTCAAACTATATGAAAATGATGTATAGATGGTGTGTCACACCAGTAAGGATGTCAAAAATGTATAAAACTGGGTCAAATACTTGTTGGTAATGTAAAGAAGAAGAAGGTACTTTGTATCATATGTGGTGGGAATGTAGAGAAGTTTTAAAATTTTGGGAGATGATATATAATGAGTTAAAAAGATGTTTAAAATTACATTTGGGGGAAAAACCAGAAGCATTTTTGTTAGGGATTTTAGGACGAGATCTGCCAAGAAAAACAAAGAACTTATTTACGTATGCTACAACAGCGGCAAGAGTCTTGTTAGCACAAAGATGGAAGAATGAGGAAATCCCAACGAATGAACAATGGCAAGAAAAACTAATGAGCTATGCGGAATTGGCAAAGCTGACATACAAACTACGTGAGAAGGACAACAGTGACTTCAAGGAAGAATGGGAACTTTTTACAAATTATTTAAAAAGACAACAAAATGATTTGGATTCCTTGGCAGGTTTTGAATAAACACCCACAAATTTATTAGTAGAACATACGATGGATAAGGCAACGATATGTACAATTCTATAATATGCAGAGAAAATTATGTATAAACAAATCAGAGAAGGGAGCTGAGGGAAGTCTCTGGGGGGTGGGAGAGGGAGGGGAGGGAATAAAAAGAGGGGGGAAATGTAATTGGTGATGTTGATTGATAATTTGTGTTGTTAAAAGTTTTCAATAATTTTTTTTAAAAAAAGCACACCCTCTCTCTCTCTCCCTCTCTCTCTCTCTCTCTCACACACACACACACACCAATCAAGCTGCAACCATAAGAAGCTGCATAGTTTTTTAAGGAAGGAGGGAGGGGCGGGCAAGTGTGGGTGCAATAGGTAGCTTCACCATCTGTAAGGACTAGGCCATAGCATCCCTCTCTTAAAGCAATAGCATTACTTCCCAGCAGTCTTCAAATATAGATGTTCTTGCCTCACTTCACAGCATTCCCACCAAAATTCTGCATCCAAAATAAAATACAAAACCCAATAAATCCTACAAAGAGAAACTCCCTTTTTTCAAAGTGGAACAGACTGGGCAGACTGGGTAGACCCTTCACTCTACTTTTCAGAATTTGGAATTTGGTGTTCTCACCTAGTAGAATGAGTTGGAATTTAAGGGAAGGAATCTGAGTGGGAAAGGTGTATAAACGCAGGGATCCCTGAACTGATGGCTTTGGTTAAGAGCCCTGCTGGGTTAAAAAGCTCCACCCGCAACTTATGGAAGATCTTTCACAGCTTCAGTGTGTATCTTTAAAACTACTAAAGCACTCACAAAAGCACATAAATTTATTTGAATTAGCTCTGCCTATTGTGCATATTTTCTTTCTTACAATCTGCTACACCAAAAGACATAGTCAGTGCCTGCCTTCAGTAGTATGGCAGTGGTACTGCTAGCTATGTCTTGTCTTCTATCCAATGTATGGTAAATAAAAAATAAAAATTGTGGTCTCTTCCAATAATTGTTGCCCTGGATTTCTTTGTGCACTGTCAACATTGGTATGTATAAATTAAAGGTTCAAGAATCAGGCTAATGGCTAAAGGTTCTGGATAAGATCTTGGACTAATGGAACTCCAAAGCATATTGAGGGCACCAACTTGGGAAAGGCTGTTCTTGCCATTGGGCTTTGCTTCAGATCTATGAAAGCCTGTCAGTGGAATGAACAGGTTTAACTTGAAATCCACACAGTAACATCCAGACCTACACCTGTACATTGCATGCTCTCCATCCACACACTATACAAATTAGCTTGTTATTACATGGAAGCAAGCCCTATTTACCTCCTCGGAACATTCATCTGAGCAAAGTGTTTACAGCGCCAGCTTTCTTTCTCCCTTGCCCACTCTAAACCCAGATTTATGTTTGCATATTTCACACACACACACACACAAAGATGCTCTTTGTGTGCCATTCTGCACGTGCGTAAATTGGGTGTGCATCTTTTGTAAGCTTCTAATGCAAGCATCGAACACAAAATGAAAAGCCTTTGGCAACTATTCCCTGGAGAGGAACCACAGAAATAAATTATTAAAAATCCATCCATGTTTAAGCAGCACAGGGAAGTGAGGAAACACACAATGCTTTAGGCTGATTTTTGCTTTCATTATTTTAGCGCCCAGATGATGGGTTTTAAAAAGTATACTAGATCTCATTAGCTATTAAGTCAGATTCATTTGGGTGCCCACAAATCCAAATAAGCTATGATGCAATAGGCTTAACAGAGGCATATATGGACAGAAAAAAATATGTGTTGAACCACAAATTT